GTTCTAACATATTTAAACAGATGTACATTAGCTCAAGCAGAACTTGGGAATTTTTTTAAATATACAGCCAGTATAACTAGAGAAACATTAATAGGAAATTAGCGTGAATAAGCATGCATTATATATCCGTATCTAAATTGTACTTACACCGACACAAAATATGGGCGATGCTTGATTTAATCCTCTTACTGTGAAGTCTAGCATTTCATGGTATGAATGAAAAGATGTTTCTTACAATTTGGGATAAAACAGACCTCTCTGTTCAACATATAAATTGCAAAATGTTGAAAATTAAATACATTCCATGCAGTCCACTGTAGGATGTCGCTAAACCATTAAATCCAGAGTTAAAAGTTCAGCTAGTAGCCCCATAAGAACGGGGTCTTAAATTTCCTATTCCCACACAGTAAAGGTTAAAAATAATTTGTATCACACTTGCAATTCATGAAGAATGTAGCCATAAAATTTAAGCCTAAAATGCTGGTAAAAATCATAAATCTGTTATACAAGTCGGTTGAATTATTATCAGGCCGAGATTGTCGAAGCTCGATACAGCTCGTTTGCATGCACAAAAAAGAAAAGAAAAAGACTTGCTATCCAAAAATGGCAGTGAACAATTTTCATACAATATTCTAGATTAATGTGCATCAGAGATATTAAATACAATGAAGGAACCAGTGCACAGATTATGTCTTGCAGAAAACAATGTAGGACTCATAAGACACCGAAGAAGTAAAAAATGATACGTAAACCGCAAATGAATAACAGTGCACTATGAAGTGTAATAAAACTACAGAAGAAAGCATTCCATAACTAAAAGGATAAATTATGGAGTCACTATTTGATCCCCTTTCAAGAAACAATGCTCAAGTTGTGAATTTCTTTTTTACAATAAGAATTTAGGAGCTGTGCATTAAAATACAAAAAAGGATTTCTTGCAAAACAAGAACAGCTTTGTGTTACTGTTTCAATTCCACAGAGTCAAAGAAAATATTCTTGCAGATATAAGAATAAGCCATGAAAATCTTGTCATAACGATAGCTGTTAAGACAGTTGATTAATTATTTTGTGCAAATGGGGGGGAGGGGGGGTCCATGCTTTTATGTCAGTAACAGGGGAATGCTGTCAATTAAAGGAATCACAAAAATAAATAAGACACGGAAGTGTCTTTTTAAGATGCACCAAACGAAAAACAGTTTGTGCATACATCAAGTTTCTTGCGTATGTCCCTTGAATTCAAATCTGGCGGATGTTGTCAAAGGAAGTCGAAGGTGGCCGTCTTCGGGGTTGTTGTACCGCGCGGTATGGTAGACGTTTACCGTTTCAGAGGTACTTACTGCCTCTATCATCATACTACATGTCACAAGAGCCCAGAAGACAGCCATTTTCATGATCACCACCACGAGAACACGAAATAATGAAATTGAAAGTAATTTATATAACAGTGACCACATACATAATTTTTATGTGAAATCTGTCATCACTTATTAGAAGGAAATTATGAAAAGTGCAAAATATATATCTTAGTACCGATGACAATAACACGGACATGGTTATTATGTTACCTGATCTTTAAAAAACATTAATTCAACTGTAAGTATTTTGGAAAGTGCTTAAGAAAATAAATATTTTTGTAGTTATTATGCATTCTTTGCACGAAGTGAATAAATATAGGGCAAATCATGTCTGTCCATGAAGGTCAAGTCAAAAATTTGTGGACGAGATTGGATGAAATTTGGAATGGACATTAAGCCACTTGGATCTAACCTAAAATAATACTTTTAAACTCCATATAATTGCTCTGTAAAAGAATTAAACGTTAAATCAAAGCACAAATCATCAGCAGTTCTTGATTTTTATTTTTAATTCTGAACAAATGTGTGTGATACTTAATGTACCACCAGGGATAACTTTATCTTTATGAGTAAGATGTGACTGAAATTAAATTCAAAAGTGAAATATATTATCATAATAAAAGGACATACTGCATGCATGTTAGAAGTAAATACATTACAGAAAACATTCATTAGGTCTTCATCACTTTCATTTAAGTTTCCTATCCAACGTAATTTGCTTGATATATGCACAAATGATAGTTTTTAGAGAACATTCTACAGCAGTTGTTATTTAAACCATACTGAAAATAATCTACCATAATACTGCAATTATTCACCAAATTAGCCACGTCACACAAGCGTAAGTTACTAACCTATCGAAAAGCTTTTGTAATTCTTTAAAAACAATTTAATTTTCTTTGTGAATATCTTTCTTACGTCTTTTTATATAACTGGGCACAATATTTTTCAGTTACCAAACTTCACAAATATTTTCAAAATATCGGATACAGTTTACTTAATTATTTCGGCACCAGATGTAGCTCTATACGGCAGCTTGCTCTGAACTGGTCAGAGTTAAATCTTATTTACCATCCCATCCTGGAGACTCATCATTAATATAAGATGGACCTATTTTTTCTTTGGAAGTAATAAGATCTGAACGTGAAGTAATCTTAAATCTATTGCTGATGCTAAGGGCTGAGAATAATTAAGCTCCTGACAAGCCCACCAAATGGGTCGACACAGCAGTTATGCCGTCTGACTCATATTTGAGACACCAGTCGAGAACCTGACCATAAACTTATCCTCAAAGTATTTCTCATGTATTTCTTTAGTCCTTAAACCAGAATAATGGAATAGTTTCTTGTAAGATTTGAGGTTTTCACAGCGGTGAGTATGAAGATTTCTGTCTTCTGGGTTGTTGCGCTGTGTAGTATGGTCGATGAATCGCCCTGATGACGGAGGCAATATGACCTCTGAAACGTTGGTTAACATCAACCAGACTACACAGCGTAACAACCCAGAAGACAGAAATCTTCGAATAGTTTCTTATAATACTGTGAATGATGGCGACTGCATTACACATCATGCTATCACAACTCTTTCAGTGTAGCACGATATTCCATCAAAAAAGATTAATAACCGATACAAGTCTTAATGGCACTGTGCTCAGCGAAATGGATTTTATCGCCGTAAATCTGACTGTAATTTAAAATACAAAGCTATATCTTTCAGTATCTTATAACTGGTGACTTCCCTTCTTCATATGCAAAGTATTTAAATTTAAGTATGATTTGAGGTACACATGGCAGTGAGTACTAAGAAGGTTATCTTCTGGGTTGTAGCGCCATGTAGTCCTGTAGAATCGTACCACGAAATTTGTTACAGACGATACGAACCAGTGAAATTTGAGACCCACATGAAAGGATTCCAATGGTACATACCGAAATGATGTAATTGTATAACGATCATAGCAAATCTGTCACATGGCTAATTTTGGTTTGTAACGTGCATAATTTTGACATTATTTTCAGTATACGTTTTAAACACTGAAATAATAACATAAAAAGAAAGAAACTCAATTAATTAGTTAAGGAAGTGTAGGATTCACGTGAATTACCGCTGCACACAACACGCGATATTGCTCACCAATTGGGCGCAGTACGGCACCTGAAAGGGAACCCAGTGTTACCACATTGTTAGTCAAAAAATGCAATAAAACCAAAACTGAAAAACAAACATAACCAATTGATAAAATTGTTACTACTCAATGCTAGCAGTTAATTAAATATTAAATCCACTACAGCAGCTATGAACTAGCAACAGCATAATTATTGTTAATTAACTAATTAGTAACAAGACTGCAACAGTTGCTTAGCACACATAAAATTAAACAATTAATTAATTATACATTAATCAGCAGCACTAGCAGCAAATTGTAGCATAGCAATTAACTAACTGGTTAATTATATATTGGAACAACACATGTTTAGAGAGAAATTAAAATATGCCACAAATTAATTACCTGAAAAAATTGCATAATACCATATTAACAGTTCTTGATGCTTATATTCATTCCAGTATTACAATATATGTATTGTTTTTGTCAAAATAACATATCATAATTGCAAAATTATATTCTAATATTACCCCAATTTCATGCGTACGTTCGATAACGATATACATAACCTAACAAAATGTAGCAAGAAGATGAAAATAAAAGAAGAAACATAGGAAGGAAGCAGAGAAAAAGAACATAATACAAAGGAAATAACTTCCCAGAATTTTTTTGTACAGATCATTAGCGACAAAAAACAATCTCGGGAACTTACGGTTACAAATTAGACATTTTAATAAGTGATTTCCTTTTTCTTGATGTTACACTGAACAAAAAGAATATTAACTATGACAGCTATATTCATTATTTTATTCAATATTTCAAGAAAAATTCTATATTTAAACAGTTTTTATTGATCTTCAACTGTGAAGATGAAGGCAGCATTTCAACATCATCTTCACAGCCAACAGAACTTCAATTTTTAAATTTTGTTTACTTTCTTATACAATCGAACCCTCTATACACCGCCACCCTCACAATGTGTCCATGAAAACAGAACGAAAATTCCCTACGTAGTTTCAAAGGAAAATCATCCGGTAAAAGTTCATCCCCGTTGTCCATCATCTGCCGGAAGGCGAACAGAAGGGTGGTTAATGCGGCTTATTCCTGAACAGGTTATACTACGACAGTATTGTATAAGGACTTACATTTCTGTACTAGTTTGGAGGTCATGCAGGCTGTTTAAAAAAACTTCAGAAACAACACAGAAATGACTCTCTTGTATGTACTTAAAAGTTTTAAGTTAGGCGAAAAATGATTGAAAATATTCAATTTCAAACTACTGAAAGTTTGAAATATTGCATCTGCTTGTTTCTACAAAAGTACTTTTACATTAAATATTTAAAAAGTAGGCATGAACATAAAGATGATATTTCTGTTTCCTGTAAATTATTAAGAAATTAACAATATGGAATAAAATTTTTAAAAAATTGGATATTATACATAAGTTGGTCAAATTAAGATAATAGTCAACAAAAATATTCTGTTACGAGTTTTGAAAATGGAGATATAGTCACTGAACATTAAGAAATGAACAAGATGTTATAAAGTAAAAAGTTGGTATTATAAACAGTAACTTGATCAGATTAAGAAACGTGATACAGATTGTAGAAGTATTTTATTGAGCATTCTGAAAATGAAGATAAATTCACTGAGGATATCAAGAATAATGCATGAAGACAAACAGAAATACATACAAATGAGAGAAGGGAAAGAATAACATAAAATCAAGAATTTATGGTAAATTCTGATGAGAACAGAAAACGCTGTCACAAGACAAATAATCCCTTCGGAAACATGAATGGGCAACAATAATTATGATGATTATACTCAAAGTTTTGGTATGAGGGTCATTCAAAAATGATTGGGATTCTCCTGGGATACAGGCCGAGACACGACACCTCCACAATCATACTCCAACATACTTGACATACTCCTTACTAAGGTCTCGTCACCATCTCTCTGTTAACTTCCTGATGGGTGCAGAAAACCAGTCTTTTGGGATATGATAAACGGACCTGCAGCCACTGCTCTGTAAGCCATCGCTATTACGGAATCACCTGCCATGCATTGGACCATTTATATTGTCAAACAGGAGAAGCCACTTCACCATCCAGATTGCCCTCTATGTTACCAGAAGTGGGGGTGTCCAAAATTTCTTTGGCTGATGACTTTCGTCCTGTTTCCACTGCCTTTTCTTTTCAGGGGCGTGGTAATGAAATCACGACTCACGCCTGTGATGATGATTCCCTAATAATGATGATGACTTGCAGTGTGGTGTGTATTATAACAAAGACTGGTTTGCTACATCCACCAAGAAGTTACAAGAAAGATGGCAATACGCAGGGACCTCAGCGAGTAGAACGCGGAGTGTGCTCATGTGGCCGTCATCATTTATCGGCCCGTCTTCCAGCCGAGTCCCAATCATTTCTGAGCTCAAAGTCCAGAAGGGGATATGTAATTTTACTATGTTCCACTGTGTTAGACGAGGCAAAGGGTTAAAATAACATTCTTCACATAATCTTACCCACAGAAAAATATCAATTTGTTAACTTTTTTATAACATTATAACGTTTTACATGGATAGGGTCAATTAGTTAGCTTTTGTAGACATCTGAAATTTTGTGTTCTAAGAAATTTATTTATCATCCAAAGATAAATTTGGCATATGTAACCCTAAACTGTGGGGTTGACTGATTAAATAATTATCAAGAAGTTTATGTGTAATACTGACCAAAATTATTTTTATTCAATATGGAATCTTATCGCCATCCTATTTGCCCCCAGCAAATGTGAAAAAATTTAAACATCCGCTGCTCTGGAATAAACATCAAATAAAATGATAATTCAACCCTTCCTCCGTCTTTACGCTTATTTTGCGAACACTTTAAGGTACCTATCTTTGTGTTTAGACAGTCAGACAATAAACAATCTTTCACATTAAGTACCCACTTCCGTACAAAGCCCATATACAGCTCATCTCTCTGATAGAGCCGTTCGTTAACTTACTTTGCAGTTGCACGCTGTGCACTTATCGTATGGATCCTTCCACTGACTTCCTGACTCGTATAGGTGCCCGAGGTAGGTGCAAGGCTTCCCACCACCTGCAGGGTTTAGGCTTGAGTTACCACTGTCGAAGTCACACGGGTCATCCTGACAGAGAGGACAACAGTCTCCTGGATTCAGGATTGGATTGCTACACATCAGTGGCGGACACTCCATAGCCCAACAGTCTATCTCGCCATACTGCAAGCGGAGGTATTATATTAGTTGAAGTAACATAAATCTTCATACACTCCAGGATACTGTTTATGATTTATTTTCTGTAATGAGCTACACATGCCGGCTTCTTACTGCGGAGGCCCAGATTCAATTCTGGGTAAATTAAAGTAATATTTGCGACGAAGACCAATGGAGCAGGTTTTCGCTTTGAACACGTAAGATTCTAAGAGCTGCCAATAGTAGCGATTAACTCCACCGCTGTTTACGTCACTTGAATCAACTGTTTGCCGACAATTACTTACGATGATTTCTCTGGCGAAGGAAATAGTATGGTGTATATAATTTTTGTCTCATTAGTGAATGCAACAAATATTTGTTGACCCTTGCACATAATTATGAATTGCTGATGACTGAACAAAGGAGGGGGAAAAAGCGAAATGAAGATATCTGAGCATTAAAAGGAAGTAACTTACCAGGCATTCACAAGTCTGGCACTGGTAGATCCACCTTTCACCACTGCGGAACATTACGTGCTTGAGTTCCTGGTGTCTGCATGCTGCGTTCGGGTCACACTGGGGGCAGCACTTGTCAGATCCACTTCCTCCAGATACTGAACAGTCACATGTAGGCTCTCTGCACGATATCACACCCGATGAGCACTCGCAACGCCGACACGGCTGTCCTACGGGACTGATTGTCAGTCCATTACCAACTTCAATGCTTTCAAACATGCAACCTAAGAAATAAGAGAGATAAATTCATATTTTGAAAATATTTAACTCTGATCTTGTACTATCATTTATTTTACCAGGGGCTTATACTGGGCAAATTCAGACCAAAATCAAGGACTCCTGAAAACAGTTTGTATATAGCTTTGTTACTAAATTTCAGTAAAATCCATCAAGTAGTTTCAGAGATGAAGCATATGGGTGGATACAAATAACTTCCCCAATGCGCATTTATCTTATGCAAGGAGTGCATAAAATATTGAAGTGTCTGTTTCTTACTGAGCTTGCAATCTGGTCCCCTGTCTGTGGGGCAGGTACACTGGAAGCTACCTTCTGTGTTGACACAGCGTGCAGATGGGTGACAAGTGTCAGTCCCCTCCTGACACTCATCAATATCTGTAAGAAATTAACAAAATATTAAAGATGACTGTTTTCCTGGGTGTTGTGCCATGTAGTCTGGCAGAAACTGAATGACCTCCATCACCTCTGAAATATCTGTCCATCATTCCCCAGATGATGCGAGGCAGTAAGCACCTCTGAAACATACGACGATTTCTACTGCACCAGTTACGAGTTTCCTACTCAGTGACGGAGAATGATATGCAATACCTATGAATTTAATACTGACACATTCTTGCAACTAGGATTGATAAATTTACCTTGGCAAATGGGTCCATGGCTATTATCGTGGAGAATGCTTCGGTATCCAGGTTTGCATCGGCAGTAGTACCAACCGGGCATATTTACACACACAGAATTTTTGTGACAGCGATGGAGATTTGATGCGCACTCGTCGAGATCCAACTCACAACTAGGTCCCACGTAGCCTTTTCGACAAGTACAGTTTCCAGGGGAGAGACATTCGCCACCATTTAAACAGGTCTGGTTGCAAACAGCTGAAATTAGAAACAGTACACAAGGTAAAATTCTTTTAGTAAGATAAATTCATGAATACATATATATATATATATATATATATATATTACTTTTTTAATCCATATAAAATTTCTACAAAGACAGTGAATGTTTTACTAGTGCCAAATTATAAGGGGGGAGTGGGTAAATGGTAGTCACCTAAGATTAATGCCAGATAAAATGATTAATGTTAATGATTTACATAAGTGGAATTTTAGTCCAAAGGTCCTAGAACTTAATTATGCAGTGTGAAATGTGTTCAACATAAAAATATTCTAGGAAATAATAACTGAAGAAATATTAATTTAGAAACATAACCTAACAGCGTTCCTGTCATTCGGTTTTTGTGGCTGATTTTCTATGTAAAACTCTGGTTTTTGGGGATGAGCCATGTTTAATAGTTCCCAGAGCCAAAGTTTTATATTAAGCTAATAAAACTTTGCTTACGCTTGCAGTTATATCCATCCCCCTCATAACCTTGCTGACATTTGCAGTGGTAGCTGCCAAGCGTGTTGACGCAATCCGCACGCTGGTGACACGCGTGCTCCCCGGTACTACACTCGTCCAATTCAACGCAGTTGAACTTATCAAGCCGGCGGTAACCAGGGAGACACTCACAGATATATGAGCCATTAGTATTAACGCAGTGTGTATTGCTGTGGCAGTGATGTCCCTCCAGACCACCCTCCTGCTGGCACTCATCAACATCTGTCAAATTCAAATGGCACATATTGACATTAAGGCTAGCAGTCGATTCTTCTAGAAATAATCTACGTTAAGAATGAACACATTCGTTAAGGTTGAGTCTCCCAGATGAGACCATCCACTTCATATGTGTCAACTTCAACTTCTATGTGAATTCTGACTCTCAATTCTCATCTTACAAATAAATAAAGCTTCAAGATGTCTTTAAAACTGGTTAGTATACAGTTATCAGCAACACTGTACTAATTATATTTCTAATATAATCTTATTGTGTAAATCATATATGTAGAAAGAAAACTAACATGACTATTCCATCTTAAGAACAGACGAGGAAATTACGTACAACATAAGATATTAGCGTGAACATCTCTGAAAATGTACATAGCAAATAATTATTAATTATAATTATCATTTTCATACTCACCGCTACCTAATTCTCAAACATTTTCCTCGCGACAAAATTACTGAATCTGGCATGACAGATATGTTACGATGGACATATTTACGTACCGTGGCAGAAGTGACCATCACCAAAGAAGCCCGCATTGCACTGGCAAGCATACGTAGTCTGTAAGTTGAGGCAGGTTGCATTCATGTGACACAAGTGGCCCAGAATACAGTAGTCAACACCTATGCCAATCCGGGGGAGCAGCGTAACAGCATTAACAACACACCAATGTTAGCTTGTTAGTTACAGATTGTGGTATTAGGCAACAGATACTGCATTCAAACAGGCATGTCACGTGTTAAGTGCCCCTACATATGTTATAAATGTAAGTTACTAAAGATTAACAAATTATCTACGATCTAAAAGAAGAGTATGTCACAGAAAATAAGGTTAAGGTTTGGTACCTATAACACAAAGTCTTGCCAACAGACTCTTCATGTGTCATTACCTCGATCTGCTCCATTTTTTCAGAATAATACATCACACGCACAAAATTACACACACAATTATAAAACACAATATCTTGACTCAGTACTTACCAGAACATTAGGAAATGATTATAGGATTATTTATAAAAAGCAGACACATTTACAAGCTGCAGTGGATGTATTTTTAGCAGATCATAAACAATATTCTTCAGTGTGGTCAACTTTAATTTCATTACGACACGTTTATTCTCAGCCAAAAGTTTTATCTTAAAGAGACAGTAAAAGACCGTAATCCATATAAAATTTCTACAAAGACAGTGAATGTTTTACTAGTGCCAAATTATAAGGGGGGAGTGGGTAAATGGTAGTCACCTAAGATTAATGCCAGATAAAATGATTAATGTTAATGATTTACATAAGTGGAATTTTAGTCCAAAGGTCCTAGAACTTAATTATGCAGTGTGAAATGTGTTCAACATAAAAATATTCTAGGAAATAATAACTGAAGAAATATTAATTTAGAAACATAACCTAACAGCGTTCCTGTCATTCGGTTTTTGTGGCTGATTTTCTATGTAAAACTCTGGTTTTTGGGGATGAGCCATGTTTAATAGTTCCCAGAGCCAAAGTTTTATATTAAGCTAATAAAACTTTGCTTACGCTTGCAGTTATATCCATCCCCCTCATAACCTTGCTGACATTTGCAGTGGTAGCTGCCAAGCGTGTTGACGCAATCCGCACGCTGGTGACACGCGTGCTCCCCGGTACTACACTCGTCCAATTCAACGCAGTTGAACTTATCAAGCCGGCGGTAACCAGGGAGACACTCACAGATATATGAGCCATTAGTATTAACGCAGTGTGTATTGCTGTGGCAGTGATGTCCCTCCAGACCACCCTCCTGCTGGCACTCATCAACATCTGTCAAATTCAAATGGCACATATTGACATTAAGGCTAGCAGTCGATTCTTCTAGAAATAATCTACGTTAAGAATGAACACATTCGTTAAGGTTGAGTCTCCCAGATGAGACCATCCACTTCATATGTGTCAACTTCAACTTCTATGTGAATTCTGACTCTCAATTCTCATCTTACAAATAAATAAAGCTTCAAGATGTCTTTAAAACTGGTTAGTATACAGTTATCAGCAACACTGTACTAATTATATTTCTAATATAATCTTATTGTGTAAATCATATATGTAGAAAGAAAACTAACATGACTATTCCATCTTAAGAACAGACGAGGAAATTACGTACAACATAAGATATTAGCGTGAACATCTCTGAAAATGTACATAGCAAATAATTATTAATTATAATTATCATTTTCATACTCACCGCTACCTAATTCTCAAACATTTTCCTCGCGACAAAATTACTGAATCTGGCATGACAGATATGTTACGATGGACATATTTACGTACCGTGGCAGAAGTGACCATCACCAAAGAAGCCCGCATTGCACTGGCAAGCATACGTAGTCTGTAAGTTGAGGCAGGTTGCATTCATGTGACACAAGTGGCCCAGAATACAGTAGTCAACACCTATGCCAATCCGGGGGAGCAGCGTAACAGCATTAACAACACACCAATGTTAGCTTGTTAGTTACAGATTGTGGTATTAGGCAACAGATACTGCATTCAAACAGGCATGTCACGTGTTAAGTGCCCCTACATATGTTATAAATGTAAGTTACTAAAGATTAACAAATTATCTACGATCTAAAAGAAGAGTATGTCACAGAAAATAAGGTTAAGGTTTGGTACCTATAACACAAAGTCTTGCCAACAGACTCTTCATGTGTCATTACCTCGATCTGCTCCATTTTTTCAGAATAATACATCACACGCACAAAATTACACACACAATTATAAAACACAATATCTTGACTCAGTACTTACCAGAACATTAGGAAATGATTATAGGATTATTTATAAAAAGCAGACACATTTACAAGCTGCAGTGGATGTATTTTTAGCAGATCATAAACAATATTCTTCAGTGTGGTCAACTTTAATTTCATTACGACACGTTTATTCTCAGCCAAAAGTTTTATCTTAAAGAGACAGTAAAAGACCGGATAATTTTGATTTAGTGGAGTTGGATACGAGATTTCATTGCAATATTTATTTCTTTACAGTGCAGGTAGAAACCCTACTGGCCGATACTGACTTACAAGCGAATTAATTTTTCTACAGCATAACGTTAAATTTTAATGTGAACGCAGTATAAGAATAAATCTACGTGGAAAATTTTGACCGAAAATACATAACCAGTTACAATTTGACCCAGGATTTTTTACAATGTAGTTCAGTGCCATTTTTACAAAATTATTTTGTTGCAGAAGTGTGCACAAATAGTGAGGCAAGCAACGGTAAAGAATTTTTCGCTTTAAAAATAGGTTAGGTTAAGTTAATGTGTGTGGATAAATAACATATACTTGAAAGTTATTATATTTTATTTCAATAAATGACAACTAACCTAACCTATTTTTAAAGCGATGTGTCCCGATAACCCACAAGTACCAATTTTTCTTTTAGCCTGTCTCCTCGCTGGCTCTGGGTCTCACCCAGGCACCAAACCAAGGTCAAATTTAAACTGCCATCAAATCACACCCTATGAAAGAAAGAGTCAATGCAGAAGAAACTTAAAACAACAAAACCGATACAACATTTGGACCAAACTCGAGCGCCTCACGACATAAACGGCTAACTTCTGTGAACAGACGAAAGTTGTACTTGATATTTACTTTACCTTTGCAAAACTTGCAGCAGTTTCCAGGCACACTGAATTGTTCTTGTGGGCTGCACGACAGTGGCGGGCACATGGTTTCAGGGTCGATGCGCTTACATTTCATCAGACCGTCGAGGCATTCACACTCGACACACTCCTTTGGGTTTACGGATTCTCCATGGTCGTACATCTCTCCTCTCAGGTAGCACTGCTCTGCACACAAACAAAAACACAATACACACAACACACTTAATGTGAGATATCCTGCAGAAATTTTACTGGCTGCGAGTAATGTTTTCATCCCTGACATGGCTGGTAGCCCAAGAAGAATCCATTATAGTTGTAAAAGTAATTGAATTAAAAAATAATTAGACATAAGAGTTTCAAATTAACTTCCTAAATACATCATTTATCTCAAGAGAAGAGAAAAAATATGCAGTGTTTGGAGTTAGTGTCCTTAATTTAATTAAGAATTTTTAATGTGATCGCAATGTATTTGAGGAAAATAAAAACCCTGAAAAAGTAGATTGAAAATGCTCTTTTATTTAAAAAGTTTAAAATATACTTGTATATCTGATAATTATTAAAATAAAATTTTTTTAAAAGAAGGTAAAGTTGTCCGCGATAATCGTAGTCAAGACACTGAAATGCAGCAATATTTCTTTAATCGTACTAAAAAAGATATCATTTGTCGACCCAGTACCTCAACGTTTATGCCGTACTAGACAAAACGTATCTTTGGTAATCATTATTGGAATGGTCAACTACATTCTCTTACAGTAAGACGGTTACATTTTTACAATTACGACGAGCATTTAACTGAGAGATATCGAAAATATCTAATTCTGCAGCAAATGAATAAAAAAGAAATTGGCGTTTTGTATCAGTCTGGGTAGTCAACATTAGACACACCAATTTTCACTGTATTTATCCCACTTTAATCTAGGCCAAAGGATTTTATATGTGTGGCCATGAACAGTACTTACTAAGGCAGCTAGGGCAACACTCCCCTGGATTGATCACAGGGTTTTTGCACCTTATGTCAGGGCACTGCACGGGCCGACACTGGATCTCACCATGCTGCAACAAAACCAAACACAGGACATTACTTAGTATTGTAGCGTACTGATCATTTGTTGTCGGCGAAGTGGTTTAACTACTGTAATTTTAATTCTCGTGGAAAACAAGTGCTGAGTATAGAGATTCTCAGTCTAGTTTCAAGATACAGAAATATTCATGATAAGAATTTGTTGATAACACGGTCAAAGCACAGAATAAGACGGCGCTCCATCGTCTACCCAGTTATTACAAGGCGAATCCTACACCCCATATTGGCTCAGGCCAAGGGGTAAGTGATAACGCACAATAAGACCTTCTGGATAACAGATGTTAAAAAGTTCGTAAAAGAATTAATAGAAAAAATATTTGCAGGGAAGTGGACAAATTGTGTTTGCTATTTTATAGGAAAAGAGAGACGAGATTGTCAAACATTCATAACAGGGCAGAAAATATGGAGGCAGTAATCATCAATTTTGGAGACAATTATTTGACTTTAGACACTGATTCAGGCTTTTAGCCTGTCTCCTCGCTGGCTCTGGGTCTCACCCAGGCACCAAACCAAGGTCAAATTTAAACTGCCATCAAATCACACCCTATGAAAGAAAGAGTCAATGCAGAAGAAACTTAAAACAACAAAACCGATACAACATTTGGACCAAACTCGAGCGCCTCACGACATAAACGGCTAACTTCTGTGAACAGACGAAAGTTGTACTTGATATTTACTTTACCTTTGCAAAACTTGCAGCAGTTTCCAGGCACACTGAATTGTTCTTGTGGGCTGCACGACAGTGGCGGGCACATGGTTTCAGGGTCGATGCGCTTACATTTCATCAGACCGTCGAGGCATTCACACTCGACACACTCCTTTGGGTTTACGGATTCTCCATGGTCGTACATCTCTCCTCTCAGGTAGCACTGCTCTGCACACAAACAAAAACACAATACACACAACACACTTAATGTGAGATATCCTGCAGAAATTTTACTGGCTGCGAGTAATGTTTTCATCCCTGACATGGCTGGTAGCCCAAGAAGAATCCATTATAGTTGTAAAAGTAATTGAATTAAAAAATAATTAGACATAAGAGTTTCAAATTAACTTCCTAAATACATCATTTATCTCAAGAGAAGAGAAAAAATATGCAGTGTTTGGAGTTAGTGTCCTTAATTTAATTAAGAATTTTTAATGTGATCGCAATGTATTTGAGGAAAATAAAAACCCTGAAAAAGTAGATTGAAAATGCTCTTTTATTTAAAAAGTTTAAAATATACTTGTATATCTGATAATTATTAAAATAAAATTTTTTTAAAAGAAGGTAAAGTTGTCCGCGATAATCGTAGTCAAGACACTGAAATGCAGCAATATTTCTTTAATCGTACTAAAAAAGATATCATTTGTCGACCCAGTACCTCAACGTTTATGCCGTACTAGACAAAACGTATCTTTGGTAATCATTATTGGAATGGTCAACTACATTCTCTTACAGTAAGACGGTTACATTTTTACAATTACGACGAGCATTTAACTGAGAGATATCGAAAATATCTAATTCTGCAGCAAATGAATAAAAAAGAAATTGGCGTTTTGTATCAGTCTGGGTAGTCAACATTAGACACACCAATTTTCACTGTATTTATCCCACTTTAATCTAGGCCAAAGGATTTTATATGTGTGGCCATGAACAGTACTTACTAAGGCAGCTAGGGCAACACTCCCCTGGATTGATCACAGGGTTTTTGCACCTTATGTCAGGGCACTGCACGGGCCGACACTGGATCTCACCATGCTGCAACAAAACCAAACACAGGACATTACTTAGTATTGTAGCGTACTGATCATTTGTTGTCGGCGAAGTGGTTTAACTACTGTAATTTTAATTCTCGTGGAAAACAAGTGCTGAGTATAGAGATTCTCAGTCTAGTTTCAAGATACAGAAATATTCATGATAAGAATTTGTTGATAACACGGTCAAAGCACAGAATAAGACGGCGCTCCATCGTCTACCCAGTTATTACAAGGCGAATCCTACACCCCATATTGGCTCAGGCCAAGGGGTAAGTGATAACGCACAATAAGACCTTCTGGATAACAGATGTTAAAAAGTTCGTAAAAGAATTAATAGAAAAAATATTTGCAGGGAAGTGGACAAATTGTGTTTGCTATTTTATAGGAAAAGAGAGACGAGATTGTCAAACATTCATAACAGGGCAGAAAATATGGAGGCAGTAATCATCAATTTTGGAGACAATTATTTGACTTTAGACACTGATTCAGGATGAAAACTAACAAAAAGAGGTACATTATGTAATAACTTAAACAAGGAAAATAGAACAACACATACACATGTTATTACTGAATAATATTTCAGAATTCAGTCCCTACCGCAAAGAAAACACAATAGTTCCCTATTACAAAGATCAAACGGTTATCAATATTTAAAGGAAATACAATGAAAATCATACAAAATTCATTAATACAAAATGACGCATTACTGTCAAAGCAGATGGTATATATATATATATATTTATTAATCTGCTTTAAGGGGTTAAACTTTACAAAAAAAAAAGATTAATTTGTCAAAAAGTACATTTCCAAACAGAAGTTGGTATTACGTGTTAACAAAGGTATTAAAACAATACTTCACCGATTGCGATGAGAATAACAATGTATATGGAGCTGTTGACAGGTCGTAAACTACGCTTTTAAACAGGCACGCTTCTTGGTTTCAATCTGAATATTATCCAAACGCGGAACAAGAAGATACTAAACATAAAAATAACTTTCTGGATATCCTTCCAGCTGAAATTAATTACTCACCACACAGGAACAGATATCACATCCTCGTTGCCATGTGGCGCCATCCGAATGGACTGAACCGTTTACTCGACAAGACTTCTGGCAGTCGCACTCCTCCACGCGGCTTATTCTTCCTTCTGCCGCCACCAGCTGTGATCGGAAAATAACATTCAATTGATATGTCGCGTGACTAAGGGGGGGGAAAGACAGACTAGAGTCTTTAACACACATTAATGAAGAAACTATAAAAATATATATAGGTATCTTGTGGAAATATGAATATTAGTTCTATAAAATCAAAAACTAATCATATGTACCCCCATCTTTTTCAAATTCCTTATATTACATATTAGTTCCAAAGTCCTACTATACGCCATGTAGGCGCATGGGGGAGAGGGGGTATAGCTCCTACTCATTCTTAACCTCGGCACTAGACGGGGGTGAGAGGTTAATGTCACGCCCTGGCCGTGCTTTACCTACTCCCGGGAAAGGACACGTGTAACTAATTCATAACGCTGAATGGAATATTGTGTTAAAAACTTTACGAACCCTCTCCGACAGTTCATGCAAATGTTTTGTGAGTTGTTCCACTGTGTTCTGCAATAATGAAAACTGTCCACAGGTGGGGCAAGTTGAACTCAGATGCGGACACTGCGTCAGGTACCCGTGCGGGCCCGAGATGAGATGAACCTCCTGCAATGCACCCTGCAGCAACACAGAATATTACATAAAATCAATAACATCCTCTGATTTGACGCTATACAGTCCGAGTTCCTAAAAAGAGTCGATAAATAAAGTATAAATATATAAATAAGTAAATTACAGGGTATGTGACATAACCTATAGGGCATTGCACAGAACCTGAAATTATTTTCAAACAAAGGCCATTGTACATCTTAATCCTTTGAAGCCAAAATTAACCTAAACAATATTTATGAAATCAGTTCGTACCTCAAAGAAAACACAACACTTCTCCATTACTAAGACCTACTTGCTAAGTCCATTTAAGGAAATAATCCCCCTTTAAAGTCAGAATTATATGAAACCCACAAGTACAAAATGCAGAGTTATTAATCGTTACAACTGGTGGTACATTGGGCTTTAAACTATATATATATAGATCTTATGTTTTAGAACATATTCTAATTTTTGCACTACGATCTATTTTAGGAATTTCGATGAAGCTCATTTTGTGCTTTACATAACATGGGTGCTTGGTGGGGGAGGCACTTCAAAATTAAATCAGTCTGAGAACCATCAGTGAGAACTCACCAGTATGAAACGTCATTAAAATCGGTTCTGTACTTCAGAGATGAAATATTTGAACAAACACAACAACCTCATTACGCTTCAACCAGAGGGGTTACAAAGTCATCTGGCTGTCCCTCTACAGCCGTAATACCAGAACCACAACATTACGTGGATGTAATACCAAAGCCGAGGGAGGATCCAGCTAGCTTGTATGGCATTAATCTGGATGTGGTAGTTACGTACTATAATGATTGAAATGACAATCACTGGTTACCACACGTCAAATACATTTTAATCTCATACAGAATGAGCCAAGAGACTAGGTACAATTAAGTCTACTTATTATTCGGTTATATTATGACCAGGTATCAACTACAGAGGCCACATAGTGTTAAATTGAAAACGGAGTGACTCTCTTAAAAGGTTAAGGATAATGTGGGTCGTTGCTGCCTATTTAATAATATACCGTTATTCGCCTTGAAAATAACCGGGTCTCGTACAAGGTACTAAAGTTACTCAAAGGATATTACTCCACATTTATTCTAATATATACAACTCATTCGTTATGAAATTATGTAACTCTCCTACAATAATTATAATTAAGTTTTCTGAATTATAATTATTACAACAAAGAAGATTTTCTCCACCAAAGTCATCATTTGGACTAATAATGGGCCATCAGTTTACTTCACAAACTATTCCCTTAAGATCTTGTTCAACGCTACCCTCAAGTCTCCTAATTGACCTTCGAAGTGGTTGCTTTCCAAAAGCCTTCCCTACAAAAATTCTGTATTAATTTCTCACATCTGTGCTTAATGAAACAACAGTCAAACAGTGACAGTTACATCTGTAATCCTGAAAGGTCCATTCTTTCCCACGCCAACGTGTTGTAGACAATTAAAAATACTGGACAATTTTTTTGTAACACTCATTTCATAATAAAAGCTTTGGCTTTAGTCAAAAACAACTTAATCTTCATTTACTGTGAAGATAAAAGGCCTTACCAAGAAAATGCTGTCTCGCTCCCTACACTAACATTTCTTTGAAACGTATCATTAATCTTGAATAAGTTTAAATAACCTTAAAAAACAACATAAAAGCTTTAAAGTAGATTCAAAGCACGAACTACTTTCCACAAAATAAAACAGTGAACGACATTTAGCAAGCGTGGTCGCTGTATAGGTTAAATCAATGGATTTCTAATAACTAGTGGTCGTCTGACATTAACATCGTTTTTACACTACCACCATTCGAAATAACATTAAAAGGAACACCAAACGCGTCAAGTCGTTGCCAGTAGCAACACGATAACAGACGCCCACACAAGAATTCCATTTTCCTTCTTTCTCACACCGCACACAGGACACAGTGTAGAAAGTTATTACAGAAACAAAGAATCGAGATTAGTACACTCGACATTACCATTCTATCGATTGTTATCGAATTACGAAGAATCTCGAATTTATAACAGATGACTAACAAACTTTTAATAACCTTGACTTAGTAACCTAGTAAACCTTCTGTTTGAAAAGACTAATTTGTTTCATTATTGTACGATCGAAAATGCTGTGTTACGTCATATTTATTTGAAACTATGCGTTACTCTTTCGTTACTACAATGTTTCTAAACCTGACTGAATTTTATAACATCGTTAAGAATAATTACGTAATGGAGTTGGCTCACGGAATATTTTTTGTTATTCATCCTGGTGCTACCATCTATATCATGGATTAAGGATGCTTAAAACATTGTGAGTGTAGCTGCTGATTAAAATTAAATCTGATGCTAAATCTTTGGTAACAGAATCTAAAGTTTTAGGTTATCTAATACCAATGACTGCCAAGCTGGTCAACAGGACAACTTTAATTTATTCCGGGAAAGATTTTTCGGGGATAGAGTGAAAAGAGTTCACTCGAATTCCCAGTAAGTTCTCACCTTGTGAGACTCACCTTGAAGTAGGAGTGTCCTCGGCTACGCTGCCCGATCCAGAGCCCGAGCTGTGGCACAGTGAAGTTCCGGTCCAGAGGACGTATAATTCTCCGATAGAGCGGGTGACAGTCTACCAGCAGTTCGACTTGAGCTCCACTCACCGATACAGCGACTTTGTGCCATTCGTTGTCAGCCAGGCGGAAAGGGAACGTCTCTATCTTAGCTGTCATTTCGTGCTGTGCTTTATAGTGAAACCGAATCTCGTCCTTTCGACCGCTTGATTGCAATTCCAGGTACCTGTTAAAAACATCTCCGCTCTCACGCGTTATTCTCACAACTGTTTCTTAAGTTATGAAATTAATTCAGAGTAAAATGTTATTCTCTTGTAATATCGTGGTGTAGAGTCATTAAATGGTTAAGAAATACCTTCTTTGAAACAAAATGGTTCATTATCATATTAATAACAACCCGTTACTTCAATTTCTCGTAATCTTTCTGATACTCCGGACCCCGCACCAAAAATTATATAATAAATTCTGATTAAATAAAATACAGAATTAAATATAAATGAAAAATCAAGTTTTTCTTAATAAACTGACAGTATCTTTTTAAAACGGGTGTCAAAGAAACTCGTCTAAATTATATTTAAGAGTCCAGTCCGTACCGCAAAGAAAACACAACACTTCACCAAAGATCATCTGGTTGACGCCGTTTAAGGAAATAATCGCTGTTTACACTGAAAATCATACTAAACACATAAATTGTTAAATCAGATGGTATACATAGTTACCACTCGGCTTTAAATTGTTAATGTATTGGGGTAGGTGGCTTTCAAATATGGTTTCCGTGATTTAACGTCACATTTTATTGAGCCAAAGTTAATGTCGTGTTAGACTGAATGGTATCGTGATTTATTAGATACAGTAAAAGTGTTCCTAAAAATTAAAGCTATATTTACCACAAACAAAAGGAAATGTGTCATGTATTGGGAAAACCAGGCAGGAGAACCAAAAATATGATTAATCGATAGCTCGAATAAAAGGCTGTCGTATCACGTGGGATGATAAATGGTAGCGATTCTAATGCCACGCTACAGGGCTTCTAGATTTTGCATTAGAGGTTTCAAGAGAGGCTGTCTGCACTCCGAATACTAGACGTGGAACATTTATAAATGAAGAACAGCTTAATGCAAATTACAACTCACGTGACAGTACATTACAATATGTTCTTAACTGCTGAGAATTTATTTTTAGCGTGAATAAAATTAAGTAGGATATGAGTACGAATATGGCTGTCTTCCGGGTTGTACTGCCGTGTAGTCTGGTCTCAGAGGACCTTCCTGATGATGGAAGCAGCAAGCACCTCCGAAACGCCGGTACCAGACTACACGACAATACAACCCGGAAGACAGCCATCCCCATTTCAGATAAATCACTGGCTTACAGCTTACCTGTTGGTGCCATGAGCGAAAGAAACAATGGTGCCAACATTGGCTTCTTCCTGGCGGAGTGATACGGCCACAGTAAATTCTGAATTGTTCCTCAGTAACCCTACAGCTTTGTCGTATACCTTCGGGTTTAATCTCAAGTCACGGCGATCACCTGCAACAGACATTAGGTCAGTAAACAAGACAGACGATGAAAAGTAAGTTAATAATATAAACCAGAAGACGACCCGTTAAAAACAGCGGGAAAATCTACGGTAGGCTCTAGTAAAAATACGTCTTTAATGAAGAGTACTAACAAAGCATTATATAAAATTGAATGTAATAATTTATTTTTGATTAATTAAATAATATTTTAATATTTTCCGTCAAATCACAATTTTTAATAAGGTAATAAAATATAAAATATTTAAAATATCATTTCACGTTCCGCATCGAATGATCGATCATATAATATTTTCCGTCAAATCACAATTTTTAATAAGGTAATAAAATATAAAATATTTAAAATATCATTTCACGTTCCGCATCGAATGATCGATCATATAATATTTTCCGTCAAATCACAATTTTTAATAAGGTAATAAAATATAAAATATTTAAAATATCATTTCACGTTCCGCATCGAATGATCGATCATCTTATTAAAAAAATCGATCATTCGATGCGGAACGTGAAATGATATTTTAAATATTTTATATTTTATTATCTTATTAAAAATTGTGATTTGACAGAAAATATTAAAATATTAACCTAATTCACAATATGACGCAAATATACTACCTTATAATTAAATAATATAACACAAAATAAACAATATAATTACTGACTATGATTTCATGCGGTGTAAATAGTTATTTTAGAAGATCGTAAACTAACAAACAAACTAGCACGTGTATTTAAATATATATCGTAAGCTATGAATTACATTATGCAACAAGTCTGTAATATAAAGTAAAGATACTCTATCTATGTTGTGTCGGCAATTAGTTTCCGACCAACCTCGGAATAAGTTTTTATTTATTATTATTTATTTAGTGTTCTGTCTGACGACAGGTCCATATGAACAGGATCCTTCCATCCTTTTCTCGGACTGGGACCTGTTCATATACGTTCTTGGCAGATGATCCAGAAGTGGTTTGCCATTGCCTTCTTCTGTGTGAGTGTGAATGGAGTAATTGTTGGGGTGCCCCGGAGGAAAACTCCGTGTTGCCTAGACCACGGCCTTGCCCAACACAAGTTATAAATTCGGGCACCGCCGGGAATCGAACCCGAGACCCCCCAGGATTACGAGGCCAGCGTTCTAACCGCTAGACCATTAATTTTTTATAACAGGTGCATAAACAGTAATTTCTAATTCATTTGGACGAAACAAGAAGTTTACGGAAAATGCTAGCTAGCGTAATGCTTGTTGGAGGAATCACTACTCTAAACAACACGGCGAGATGCCTTCACATTCAACCTCTTCATTCTATCTGCTTGTTCAACTTCCCCTAAAGTTCAGCATCGGCTTAAGTTTATAAGCAGTACGTTAACTCCTGCAAACCGCGATGTAGTATGTCCCGCCATACAGGAGTGACGGAGAAGTTGCCGCACGAGCAGGGCGATATACTTACGTCTTATTTTTTATAAGAAATATCTAGGAACGTAGAAATATTTCAGACGACTTCATAGTGACTCAGGAACTTACTTTATGATAAAAAATTATTGAAAATTATAAACGTAATGTATCTATAATCAAATTAATGTAACAATATAATTTAATGCTGTATACAAACACTTATATTGTCATTGAGGAGTGCATATGTTCGGTTCTTTATTAATAAATTTTTTTCTCTCTCTAGTTTTTCAGCTGTATGACTTGTACACAGTGAATGGGGATTCTAATCTCTCTCATTTGTGATAGGATCTGTTTCTGAGTTAAATTCAACGAAGCAAAGTAATCTGAAGGATTTTCGTGAAGTGGTTTATTTTAACTTTTTTGCGTCAGTAAATTTCTGTGTAATGAACTCACAAAAAAAAAACAGTTAACAGTAACAGCAATGAACATAAGTATTACACATGCCTCTTATTCCACGAAATGTATAACTTTATCATATACAAACATGCCTTATTAAACAGGAATATATTTTATACCCGCATAAATTTATTTTCACACGTTTAATATATCTGCCACACCTATTATCTCAAGATTAATGTATTCCATGTAATTTAATACAATGTTAATTAAAGTTTATGTGTCGTAATTGTAATAGTATAATTTTACTTTCGACACAGTGCTTGTACGACCTGAGGATGGTCAAAAACGGACCGAAACATGCCGCTCTCGAATAAACATAATAAAGAAAAAATGTAGGGCATAACTTTGAGCTTAATATTTCTGGTTTTATTTATTTATCTGCAATCTGCCATTTTGTTTCAATGGTGACCTTCAATGGAACTATCAATGTAGTTACTTATACATTAAGATAATTACCAACATCGCATACAGAAATATCAAACCTAACCTAAATGTTTTCTCGTACCACGGAATAAAAATCGATTCTCGACACACGGTGTTTCAGCCAAGAAGTCTTGTTGCTGTATACGAACTGCAATATGAAACAAAAATTACCCATTTATTTATGGAAGCGTATGGTAATAAAAATCCACATATTCTTAAGCTTGGTAATCGAATACAAATGGCGAGATTCACACGTAAGTTATTTTGTGTCCGTAGAAACAGAACCCAGGACATATTATGTCTTCTGTCTTTTTGTCTTACTGTTTCGTTGTGTCTCATTGTTCTGTTGTTTCTTATTGTTATTGTTTTTGTTGTCTTATGTTTTTTTGTGTTATTGTTTTGTTCTGTCTCATTGTTCTGTTGTTTCTTATTGTTATTGTTTTTGTTGTCTTATGTTTTTTTGTGTTATTGTTTTGTTCTGTCTCATTGTTCTGTTGTTTCTTATTGTTATTGTTGTCTTATGTTTTGTTGTGTCTTATTGTAGGACCACTGCCACCGTGTAAAAACCCATTTGCAGTCAAATAAATAATAATAATAATAAAATATTGAATAAAGGGCTGGGTAAGTCCAAGAGTCAGTCTGGACGTGCTGGAAACTTTGTTCCTGCTCTTAACGGGAATCGAATCCCTGTCATTAAGATAATAACTAAGAACTGAAAAGAGACATGAACTTTTTTTTTTACGATTTCTAGGAATATATCGGCGGCTGAATTTTATCAATTGTACCTAAAAATTGTGTGTTTCCCACATTTTGTGCGTTGTTTGATCAATATAACGTCTGACCCCCTCCACACATGCACACAATGTAAATGTAAATATCATATATAATAGAACAGAACACATCATGGAGTCTCCATGCGTTTCGAGTAAAAGTGGTCTAAGTTGTCTAAATTTCATAAAGCTGTTTTGATTGTAGGAAGAAATATCTGTCATCTATTGAAAAAAAAGCGTAGACTAGTAGAAAAAAGACCGACATTTCAGAGGAGTTTACTGCCTCCATCATCAGGACGATGTGTTATTTGTAATCTTAAAACATATCTTATAGTAGTCACTCCATACAATATGAAGATGTCAGTCTTTGGGATGTTGCGCCGTGTAGTATTGTAAATATTGACGGACGTTTCGGAGGAGTTCACTGCCTCCATCATCAGGACGTGTTATTTCTAATCTTCAAACATATCGTATAGTACTCACTTCATAGAATACGAAGATGGCAGTCTTTTGGGATGTTGCACCGTCCAATATTGTAAATATTTACGGGTGTTTCGGAGGAGTTTATTATCTCCATCATCAGGACGGTTATTTGTAATCTTCAAACGTATCGTATAGTAGTCACTCCACAGAGTATGAAGATGGCAGTCTCTTTGGATGTTGCGCCATGCATTATTGTAAATATTTACGGATGTTTCGGAGGAGTTTACTGCCTCCATCATCAGGACGATGTGTTAATTGTAATATTATAACATGTAGTATAGTAGTGACTCCTTAGAGTATGAAGATGTCAGTTTTATGGGATGTTGCGCCGTGTAGTATTGTAAATATTGACGGGCGTCTCGGAAGAGTTTATTGATTCGAAATTAAAATGTCTATAACTTTGGTTTCGCGATTTAAAACCACAAATAATAATCATCACCTTATATCACTTTAGTCCTCAAGATCAGAAGTCCTTTCATTATGTTATTGTTCTCGACTCACTGGGACGAGGGTATTGTTGACATGTTACCATGGCAATCAGTATACTTGGTCGGTATTGTGTGAACTAGAATGAATTATCTTCATTCAACCTTGTTCTTTACGCCGAAATGTCCCACCCTTGTTTGGTTAGGTTTATACAAAGCGTAGCCAATAGTGTACAAGCCATTGTCACTTCAGGAATAAATAACTCTTAACACTGGAACCAGCTCAGGTGAAAAGATAATACATGTAGGCTTTACAGTTCTTTTCTGATGTCAGTATTAAGTATTCCGGTAGAAACATACTTCAGAATTATACAGAGTGTCCCATAAATCCCACGCCATAGTAAATCTACTTTATATGTCAATACGCGGAAGAATATAAAGATGGAATGTTATTACAAATCAAAATAGCTTCAAAAACCGTTAGCCTGACTTCAGACCCCCACCACTACAGTCGCCACCGTCAGAATTTGATTTCAATATCTTTTACCGCAAACGTAGGACGCATAGAGTCAAACATGACGGACAATGGATATTATATACATATCAAATACTGGGAAATCTGTCAGTTCGTGCCTTGTTGGCAAAGCACTTACCTTGCAGGCTGTAGGCAGGTTTCAGACGCTGGGGGCCTGGAGTCTCTGTCACTCCCTGATGGCTAGTGTTGTGAAGGTGTAGGGACTCGAGAAGATCGATATTATCGATATTATCGATACTCATCTCCTGACCTGCGGCTGAAATCACAGGTTAAAACAATTTACATTTTCGTATAGCTTTACAATTTGGTTTAGTTTGATTTCAAAAACTGCTATTTACGTGTTCAGTCGTGTAGAAATTAATCGAATTTCAGGAAGGAGATAGAATTTTAGTTTCTGAATACTCTATCTTAAATTGATGGACCAGAAAGTAACTTGGTGGCTTACACAACAAGTAGAAGTTTTGACGATGTTTCAGAAGACTTTGCTGCTTCCATCATCAGGGCGATGGAGCAAATGATGAAAAGTCAAAATTCGTAATTCCTTAGATGCTCCTATTTAATCAAATGGAAGACAGAAGTTTCTCCCACTTCCAATCTGTGGCTCTGTGCGATAAAGCGGATTATCAACTTTAGAAGTTTCTCCCACTCTGTGCGATAAAGCGGATTATCAACTATCTTTTTCCTTCAGTAATACCAACAGCGCAAACTAATAAATCCCCTAAACGAATAAGCTTTACCAATTACACTTCAATGAATGTGGAAGATGAAATTTAGTCTTGACTACTGTACTGGAACAATTATATCGCCACGTTTCTTTTTGCAAGAATGGCATATCTCTTCGCAAAATAGGTGAAGCCATACAAATATGATTTAGATTTCACAGTATATAAATCCCCTGCTCTTGGTACAGTAAGTTACGATGGTATAAGGAGGAAAACTGGTCGAAACTAATTTAAGAAATTATCGCTAAAGGAATCAAGGCTTCATTACGAAAACAATTAAAATAAAGTCGTGAAGTTTATTTTATAAGAACAGCGAGAGAATTTCCATGAATTATCAGAATACGTCATAATACAATATAATTATTGAAATATATTAAGATTTAACTGAAGTACGTAACTTTGTTACAGAAAGTTTTAAGGAGGGTAATAATGAAACTTAAAGAAATATAATGCAAAGCTGTGAAGCTGAGGTTAGAATCAGTTATGAGCTATTGTGACGACGGTAATGGAATTTTGATTCCAAAGAAGGCGGCCATATTTAAGACTCTGAGAGACTTCTCGATTCTGCAGAAAGAGGTTTGAATTAAAGCAGTAGATATATTAAATGCATTGCAATAGTGAACTGGGTTAATTTATTTGTTTCCGATTATAACACTTTTACGTGATGCAAATAAACATATTACAACCGGTATATATTAAATCTTGTCCGTCTAATCACAATAATTCTTATTAAATATTAAAATATTACAATAATTAACAATGTAATGTAAATCGAATATTTCGATAAAGAACATCATTTAATATTTTAAATATTTTAAATGTTAATTATTGTAATATTTTAATATTTAATAAGAATTATTGTGATTAGACGGACAAGATTTAATATATACTTATTATATCACAATATGACGCAACTTTACCATCTTATATTACAACCAATTGTTTCGATGGAAATATTCAATATATCTATAGATCAATCCGAATTTATTGATAAATAATTTAAAAAAATTCAACATACGTGAAAACTAAGAACATTTACGGCTGTAATTAAGATGTCTTAACATCGCGTAGTCTTGTAGAAGTTTACCAACGTCTCAGAGGTCCTTGCTGCCTCCATCGCCCTGATGATGGAAGCAGCAAGGCCTTCTGAAACGTCGTCAAATTTCTACAAGACTACGCTGAGTTAAAATCCAAAAGTCAGTCATCTTAAATTTTTCTGTGTGCTAGTGTTTTTTTTTTTATTTGTAGTGTTCTGTCTGACGACAGGTCCATATGAACAGGATCCTTCCATCCTTTTCTCGGACTGGGACCTGTTCATATACGTTCTTGGCAGATGATCCAGAAGTGGTTTGCCATTGCCTGCTTCTGTGTGTGAATAGAGTAATTGTTGGGATGCCACGGAGAAACCGGGGAAGAAGCCCCCGGAGGAAAACTCCGTGTTCCCTAGACCACGGCCTTGCCCAACACAAGTTATAAATTCGGACACCGCCGGGAATCGAACCCGAGACCCCAGGATTACAAGGCCAGCGTTCTAACCGCTAGACCACCACTGAATAAGAAATAGAGAAACTGGGAGAGGTTAGAAAACACGATAGTAATCAGTAAGACGCCTTGCATAAGAGAGCAGCATCTCAAAACTGTCAACAGTTAAAGCAACAAAATTGCTTAAACTGTGTCCATGCTAGGTAACAGTATTTCATGCTTTACAGCCACATGACTCAGTTAGCAGGATTAATTTCTACAGCTGGATTTGGAATCAGCTCATGTATGAAATTGACCCTTGTTTGACTCTGCTTGTATAGGGAGCTAGTGTAATGAGTATCAATGACCCACGAAAGTGACACTTCTCATTTTTTAGTTTATGAAGTGTTAGCTGCGATAACATGGTTAACATGAAACACTCAGCCCTTGAAAACCAGCAAATTGAATTAAGTAATTGCTGTTTCCCCCAAGGCTCGCAAGACGGATTATTGCATTGATGTTCTGGATACAGGGAGAGTGTAAAAGCAGTTGATAATAATGAAGTTATGAGGAAATTGAAGACGCGAGGACAGACGAGGGTTGGAGGCTTAATTCCTCCCGCTGATATAATAAAATAGATCTTACCTCTCAGCCGGAAATAAAAGAGAGATTGTGTGAAGGGCGTCACCCCCCATTCAGAGAGAAAAAAATCATTCAATCAGTGAAAATCAACACACGCGTCCATTGAGCTGTTATTCTTAGGAGTGTCAGTAAAACATTGATTTTCCTTCTTCATAGAAAGTAAACGTATAACTTAGGCCTCAGGGGTGAGCAATGCCGAATATTGAGAATTATCCAACCTTTCGACAAACACTGCAGTTACTATCTTCAGGATAAATATGTGATGGTTGTACAGCCTGTAAGATAAATATGTGATGGTTGGACAGCCTGCAATCCCGCTTCAAAAATCAGTACCAACAGCCGTGTAATTTTTAATGGAGGAAACATCGACGTTTCGAGAACCATCTTTGTCCTCGTCTTCAGTGTACTGCAGTTATTGAAGGGACTGAAGTTGACAACTTCAATACCCTGAGGATGAGGACGAAGATGGTTCTCGAAACGTCGGTGTTTCCTCCATTATACCACCTTAAACTGCTTGTAGCCCGAGAAGAATATATTATACTTTGTCGTCGTTAAAGCTTAAGATCATATATCATGGTAGAGACAGTTTAAAAGTTGGTCACTACATGCCACATAGAAATTAATGAGTCTATTGCTTCATAATGATACGTAAGAGAGTTTTAACGGAGAAATTCTTGTAAAACTGCCATTGAGAAGAAATAACTGGGCACCAGATCATGTCGTAATGAACTGTAGTATTCTGTATTGGTCTGAACAAATTCAGGACAATGTAAGATGTTTCTTCAAATTATACGTAATCACTGGAAGAAGATACAATGAAGGCTTAAATTACTGTTGACCATGCCTGGATAAAAACAAGAAATCTACGGAAAAATCTTCTAGCAAAAACTCAAGACCTGTACCTTCCAGAAAATATCTCCAACGGCTGAACTGTTATACGCAGTGGTTTATGACGTAAAATATAATGCAGTCGACTACTTTAAGACACTGAAAAAACTAAAGAGATCTAAGATATCATTCAGCCTTTAAGCATATCGAGATTCCAACCGAGTACATCCAGAATAAAAACATAGAGCGCTACACTGAACTGCTCGATTTAATTAACTGAAATAACAAAAATTTGTCAGCCCTCACGTAGACGCCCGATTCTCACTGCTATCTACAGATGTCACGAAGGCGCCAGAACGCCTACCAGCAGCGCCACTATAAATGTGGTGACGACGCCAGCTTAGCCGTAACCTAACTTTAACAATCCATGACGACACACGTGTAAAAAGGAGATTAAAAAAGGAATATATATAAGTAATCGGCTTTACGTAAATTTAAATTCCTTTTCATGTTTTAATTTATATCGAAATCTTATCAATAAGAGGAAAGACATTAACTAACTAACTAACTAACTAACTAGATGGCTTACCGAACCTGAAGGTTCATCACCGAATTAACCAAAGCCCTCCACCGGACCCTGTCCTGGGCCAACAAAATCCAGTCTCCTTCAACTCCTATCTCCCATAGATCCCGCCTGAGATTATCCTCCCATCTACGTCTAGGTCTCCCCAGAGGTCTCTTCCCTTCAGGTTTCCCAACCAATACCCGGTGCACACCTCTGGCCCCATCCATGCGCGCTACAGGCCCCGCCCATCTCATTCTTCTCGACTTAATCATCCTCACAATACTGGGGGAGGAGTACAGATTTTTAAGCTCATTATGCACTTTTCTACATGCCCCATCGTCTTCTCTCCTAGGCCCAAATATCCTCCTCAACACCTGCAATCTGTGTTCCTCCCTCTGAGTGCGAGACCATGTTTCGCACCCATACAAAACAACAGGCAAGATTATTGTTTTGTA